CCCCCCTAACTCCATCTTGTCCTTTTTTTTAATCCTCCACTCATATCTTGAATCCTGCTTGTGATTTCATATCACTAAAATACTTTGATAGTCCAAAAAGGGCCCCCAATTTTTCCATAAACAGATCACCATTTGGATCTCTTAGTTTTACAGTCAATAATGGATTGTGCTGAAATGACGCTGTTGACTGTAAGAAATCATTCTTATTTGGTTGGAATCTCTTCCTCTTTCCATTTCTGTGCATATAAGGTTCTGGCGGCGGTTGTTGCATACATTAAAAGACTAATTGGCTTCTTCAGAATCTCTGCCCCAATTATCCCTAGCAAAAAGGCTTCTTTTTTCAAGTTGTTGTTGTTGTTGTTTTTGAATCACCAACAGAAGCATGGCACCTCTGATTTAGCAAAAAAATGAGCCAGTGGTCCAACAGTGGTTTAAAATTTATTTATTACATTTATATGATTTGTGTGATGGCAAAAAAGAGGTGGTGGGGGAGAGCATGGTTTATCTGATCCACTGCTAACGGTAAACTATTGTGACTATTCTTGGGGTTAAAGAACAGGAAGTCTATTCCATATCAACTGCCAGTCTGAAAGGTCTGAAGTGAATTTCACATTAAACTGCTGCCACGTTTTCCCCTTTGATGCTAACTGCTACAAAAATGCAAACACAATTAATAGAAGGTCATTACATTCTGATCACATCACTTCATTCTATAAATAGAAGAGCAGGTTGCAATGAGCTGCTGTCTATGCAGTGATCTATAATTTGAGCTGGTCAGGACACCACTGCCTCACAATGAAAGCTGTAAATATTATGATGAGCGTTTGGGGTATTTAACAAAATGGAAGCACTATTGATAGAGCTTGTGCCTGGCCAAGGCACAAACAGCTTTAAATGACTAAGAGTTCTGGACACACATATCTATAATGTGGCAATATTATTTTTATTTCATAGTATGTAGAGATGCCACCTGGTCCTATAGGTTTTATGGGCAGCTTCATGAACAGAAATTATCAGGCAATATTTATTTTCATATTTTTTCTGGGGTTTAAAAATTCATACAGTTTTAGCTTTATGCTTTGCTTGTTCAGGGAAGCTTTTAATGTTTGATGTATTAGAGTATTTTAATATTTTCTGGAAACCGCCCAGAGTGGCTGGGGAAGCCCAGCAAGATGGGCGGGGTACAAATAATAAATTATTATTATTATTATTAATAATAATAATAATAATAAAACATATAAACAAATATATATTATTTTTATTTTATTTTATTTTTAAAGCGATTCTACCACTTCAGTATTCTTGAACTCCAATGTGGGTTTCATTTGGAAATAGAGGTCAGTTATAAACTAAGAAAGCACATCAGTAACCTAAGAATTAAGTTACATCAAGACCACTTTAGGAGCTGCAAACAACAACAACAACATGTTGAGAAAACTCCTCTGGTTGAGTAGCATGTTGGGAAAACCAATCTTATCCTGGGAATAGAAGCCTCTAGAATGTGGGGAAAATCCACATGCAGCCCAGTATTTTCTAAAACCTTTTGCAAGCACATATCATTATTAAAAAGCAGTGATGATTAAAGGCAGAGCAAATAATTGTAAACAGTATTTAAACATGCCAACCAAGAAAAAAATGAACTACAGCAAATAAACCCCCAAACTTACGACACCCCTCCAAATATTCCCTTAGCCCTAGCATAATTAACCAGAGCTTAGAAGTCTCAGAGATTTTCTGAAAAGTTTTTAAGAAGGCCATATTCAAGTCCTATGACTCCACTTCCTATCTTCCCCCCCTGCTACAGTTGTCCTAGGGACGTGGGTGGTGCTGTGGGTTAAACCACAGAGCCTAGGACTTGCCAATCAGAAGGTCAGCAGTTCGAATCCCCACGACTGGGTGAGCTCCCGTTGCTCGGTCCCTGCTCCTGCCAACCTAGCAGTTCAAAAGCACATCAAAGCGCAAGTAGATAAATAGGTACCGCTCCGGCGGGAAGGTAAACGGTATTTCCGTGTGCTGCTCTGGTTCGCCAGAAGCAGCTTAGTCATGCTGGCCACATGACCCAGAAGCTGTACGCTGGCTCCCACGGCCAATAAAGAGAGATGAGTGCCGCAACCATAGGGTCGGCCATGACTGGACCTAATGGTCAGGGGTCCCTTTACTTTTTACCATACTCTTCAACAGTTCTCTGATAAATATAAGGACATCTTAAGGGAAAGTGGGACATTTCTGAATCAAAGCAGAAACCGGGATGGCTTCTGTAAATCCGGGAGTGTCCCTGGAAAATAGGGACACTTGGAGGGTCTGAAGTCAGTGCTTTTACAGTGCTTGGGGAAGATGAGGCCATCATGAGCCAATGTGGGCCCCCGGCATTTGCTTCAACGTGCCATATAATGATGCCAGACTTGCCGGATTGCACAACTTCTGACAAGCATTTTGAAAGGCTGTGAAATGGATGCAGGTTTTGCAGCAGCTGTGTTTAGCGAATCTTACCTCTAGCAATCATCCCATATTGCTAAGTGATAAAAGGCCTAAGAGGAAGGCTGTGTATTTTAGCAGAGGAAAAGGCACATGCCCAAATGCCCATTGAAAAGGGACATCTCTTTTTAAAGAGGAAGCAATGTGAAATTTCACACCCTGACCTTTTAATTCAAGGAGCAAAATAATGCAGAGAAAATATGATGCTAATCTGCAAATAATGACTTTGTTTGCTTCTGAGCTATGAGCCTCATTTTTGCAGTGTCCCTTATTTCTTCTTCTCACAGTTATCTTGTGTTTATCTGTGAGGGCCTTTTGAGAGCGGATTGATAAATAGAAGGTTCCAAATATAGAAATCTTCCAAGTTCCAAATAAATTAATCCACTTTCTCCTCAGAAATGTTGTTATATTTTGTCCCCCCCTCTCCTCCTGCGTAAGGTGCAAACTGGGCACACTTTTCCACACAGAGAAGATCCAAATAATTAAAGCACAGCAGTTGGTTGGGAACATTTGGCTGTGGTTGTAATCCACGAAGCATGGTGCATAATGTTCAATTCAGCCCGGCCTGTCTGTAAGAATGCCATGCAATTATCTAGGTGGTGTTATTAAGAGATTATATAAAATACATCTAAAGGCCTGGAAGAATAACAAGTGGCCATGGAAAATATTTAAACGAAACTTACTCATATTCTGAAGCATTATTATATGATGGTGCACAGGGCTGTCCTGAAACATGTTTCCTCCCCCACCCCCCGGCTGTGGTGAAGTACAAGATGGTGCACACCCATATTCCATGTATAGAAGTCAACTAGAATGGCAGCTGAATCTTACTTCAGTACTGGAAATTGCACAACATCTCCCACCATAGCTGAGGACAGCTAGGTTTCCCCAGCCGCGCTGGGCAGCTTCCAACAAATTAAAACATCAAACACAGTAAAGCATCGGAGATGCAGAGAGATGAGAGCGTTTGTGCTTTTTCTTCATGGAACTCAGCTCTAGAGTGTATGGAAAACTAGCATACACAACACATTGAGTGAAGTTGGTTGGAAATGCAGAAAAGTCTTCACTTGGCACCAAATATTTGTCAGGGTCTGGCTTCCCCTCAGCTTAATTAGGCAGCAAGCAAACGTCCCGGTATTTTCAAACACTTTATTATTTACGGCAATTAGTTTTCCGAGCAGTCACAGAGGCTGCTCTCTCATCATGACGTTGAAGCTTCTGAATTACGCCCCCTGTGCCAACAGGAAATCCTCCAGAAGCTACCCCCATTCCTTCACCTCTTAGCTTTACGTCTTTCTTTAACCCTTGTTAAGCAGGCTCATATGGATATGCAGTCTCTTCTCCCCCCTTCTTCTCTGTCACAACCTGATACTCGCTATCAGCATCTGGGCCAACTCTGGTTCACTGCCCTGAGAAACTGTCTCTTCTCCCACCAGAGGTGGGAATGTAAGAAAGTGAAAAGCTTCTGGGAAATGATATATAATGAGATGAAAAAGATGTTGAAATATACATTTATTAAAAATCCAGAAGCATTTTTACTTGGCATTGTAAGTGAGGACATTAATAGACAGGACAACAAACTGTTTTTATATGCAACAATGGCAGCAAGAGTATTGTTGGCACAGAAATGGAAACAAGAAGAACTACCGACGAAAGAAGAATGGCAGACGAAATTAATGGACTATGTAGAATTGGATAAGATAACAGGAAGAATTCGAAACCTGCGGGATCAGAGATTCTCAGAGGACTGGAGTAAATATATGAATTATTTGAAAAGCAATTGTAATCAACAGATTACGCTAGTAGGATTGCAAGAAGTTTTGTAAGGAGGATTATGCAAAATATTGCAGAGAAAATTATGATAAGAATTATTAGTGAAGGAGTATTAAATGTAATACTGAAAATAATGAAATGCAGTTTAAGTGATAAAGACTGAAAAATCTTCAGATGCAGTTGATGGAAGTCCAAAACATTGTATAAGATAAGAAAGTATATTATATGATTTTTGTAAATTATTTGTAAAAATCATTTTTATTTTTTAAAAAGAGAAACTGTCTCTTTTCCTCTGACATGAGAAGTCGATGGTGGATGAGGGGGGCTGGAGACAAACAGCTGTGAGTGAAAGCTGTCTTCCTCACTGCTGCTCTAAAATCCCTGCCTTGATAGATCTCCAGTTCGCTATCCCCCTCTTCTGCCCCCCAACATCGCTCTGGGGAGCCATGTCTCTGACACCATTCCACAAATATGTCACCAGGCATTTCCAATGAGGCTATTCCATAGTTGGGGTGCCACTACCAAAAAGGCTTTCTCCCTAATGTCTCTACCAGAAGGAGTCTCAAAGCAGCTAACATTCTCCTTTCCCTTCCTCTCCCACAACAAACACTCTGTGAGGTGAGTGGGGCTGAGAGACTTCAGAGAAGTGTGACCCAGGTCACCCAGCAGCTGCATGTGGAGGAGCGGAGACGCAAACCCGGTTCACCAGATTACGAGTCTACCGCTCTTAACCACTACGCTACACTACACTGGCTCTCATGACTATAGCTCAGTTGGTAGAGCATGAGACTCTTAATCTCAGAGCCATGGATTCTAGTCCTATGTTGAGCAAAAGATTCTTGCATTGAAAAGGATTGAACTAGATTGTCCTTGTGGTCCCAGCTCTACAATTCTATGATTCTTCAATTAGCTGGACTTACATCTAGGCTTTGTTTAAAACAGCCCCACATTTCCACTGAGCACAGGAATTATGCAAATGAGTTTCCACCTTAGACTTTGGCAATTAAATCTGTTTTAAGAAATCCTTTAACTACCCTCCTTAGCAGTTCAAAGGGAGGGTTAATGGGGAAAAAGGATAGGAGATACAATTTCCATTTTGCTTCATATTTATTGTTAAAAGTAGCAGAAAAAGAATGAGGAAAGCAAGTAGTATGATACTGTTAATTAAAATGACAGGGAGCTAATATATTTTCACATTAAAGAACTGAATGTTGCATTTCTAGATCGTGTAAATCTTACCTTGATGGCTCTTAATCAAAAGGTTGCTTCAGCAGTAAAGGCTTGTTGAGAATGGTTAATTTCTCATGATGATCATAGCTTTATCTACTGAGATAAAATTAACCTATAGATTATACTTGAGCTTGGTTTCCAAGAAGAAGACTGGCCTCAGATGATGCTGAAAGAGAATGTCATATTTCCCCTTTTCAGATTTTATCTTTGAGAGAGAGAGAGAGAGAGGACCTGGAGATTGACATCCTTGGTCTGCCTCAGAGATGGGGGGAACCTGTGGTCCTCCAGATGTTTTTGGGATCCAATTCCCATCCACCCGAGCCAGCATGGCCAATAGTCAGCAATGATGCGGGTTGCAGTCCAAGAACATCTGGAGGGCCACAGAGTCCCTCTCCCTGGTATGCCCTGTGGTCCAGCCTTGATCATTTTGTCTTATATTGACTTTGGCTATCTAGAAAGATAGTGTGAGAGTAGACGTGAGAGGATACATCTGCTAAGTATACTACAGTGGTACCTCTAGTTATGAACTTAATTTGTTCCGGAGGTCTGTTCTTAACCTGAAACTGTTCTTAACTAGAGACGTGCTTTCGCTAATGGAGCCTCTTGCTGCTGCTGCTGCGCTGCCGGCACACGATTTCCGTTCTCATCCTGGGGCAAAGTTCTCAACTCGAGGTCACTCTTCCAGGTTAGCAGAGTTTGTAACCTGAAGCGTTTGTAACCTGAGACATTTGTAATTCGAGGTACCACTGTAATTTAATTCACTGAAATCATAAATACTTGTATGCATTGTTATGTGTTTAAATTTGATTGGTTGGTAACTGAATTCCAGAGTTCTCATGTGATTAGCTATCTTTGGCCACATGGGAGGTATCAGGTGAAGGAGAGACTCCATTTTATGTGATGCAAAATGACTGCATTTTAGAATCCACCGTGAACACTGCCAAGATCAATAGAGTGTTGGAGTGCTTCTTCTCTGCTTGAAGGAAAGAGAGCAAAGCTGCAGGAGAAGGTAAAAGTGTAAATCTCTCATAGGAGCTGCAAGACATGGCCTAACTGAGATCCAGAAGGCTGAAGGCTGAACTCTGTAAAGAAAGGAAAATACAGTTGTTTGGAAGTTAGAACATGAGACTGTGAGCCCATGCTTGGAGAAGCATGTGGCTGTAAATATTATGTTTTAATTAATCTCTAATTATAAGTTTATACAAGTAAATATTTTGAATATTTAAATCTGGACATTGGTTTAATTTCCAAAGAAGGGTGACAGTCACAGAATGGGGCAGGCCGCCATCTTGTCCTTTGTCTGAGGCAACAAAATGTTTTAGGCTGGCATGATAGACTTCCCGTACTTGCTGCTCGTCTCTTAGCCCAGACGAAAATCAGGAATCTGGACTGAGGAGAAAAGCTGGTAGGCAGGTATGAATTTTCCACACCCAGAGCTTCTTCACTGCCAATTCTGCCTTCCCAGCCTTGATTTGTGCAGGACAAGCAGCAGCTGGGCTTTAAAGATAAAGGTTTAAGGTGGAATATGTTGTTTCACCCAAACTTCATTGTAATTCAAGCATCTTTTGTTTATTTTTAGACCTGTCTACTAGGCCTGTCTTGAATGTTAGGGTTATTCTGGCAGAACATTACAGTTTTGCTTTTAAAAACGTGTTTCACTTTTTTCCCCATTACCTGGCCTATGCCTTAAGGCAAGAAGCTGTTCTATAAATATATGGAAATATATGGAAATACATATTAGGGATGAGCAAAATGGCCAAGCTCCATTTGCTAAACATTCTGGAATCCAGTTGGTTCTGCTCTAGTTAAACTCATGCTAGAACATCAGAATGGAAAAAAAATCTGAACAGGCACAATTCTCAATTTTTTAAAAACATTGCGAGTCAGAGGACAATTGTGCCATTTTATCACACCACCATTTCAGAACCGGTTTGAGTAAAAGAGGAAATGCAACTATTCCATGAACAGAATATGGGGTGGGCAATTTTAGAAGAGCTTCTCTTACAAGAAGAAGAGAGAAGAGTTTGGATTTGATATCCCGCTTTATCACTACCCGAAGGAGTCTCAAAGCGGCTAACATTCTCCTTTCCCTTCCTTCCCCACAACAAACACTCTCTGAGGTGAGTGAGGCTGAGAGATTTCAGAGAAGTGTGACTAGCCCAAGGTCACCCAGCAGCTGCATGTGGAGGAGCGGGGAAGCGAACCCAGTTCACCAGATTACAAGACTACCGCTCTTAACCACTACACCATGCTGTAGTGTAGGAGATGGTTCAATTAAAAAATTGTGCCACTGCAATTTTTGTGCACCATTGTGCAGTTTTCCAAATTAAAGAAAGGGAAAAGTCAGGGGTGAAAAGAGGGGTACCCTACTTTAAGCTTTTTCAGCCATTTCCTGAGGAAAGTCCCCAAAAACGTTCCTCTGGAATATAAGCCAATAATAATAATAATAATAATAATAATAATAATAATAATTATTATTATTATTATTATTTAAAGGATTTGAATGGGCCATGTTCTAACCTGAAACTATGCAAGAAATGCAAAACTGCAAGATCTGGGACAGAATGAGCTGGAGGCAGCTTCTGTAAGCCCCCCAACAAATAGCTGTTCTACTGATTTTAGCAGCTTCCCCTCCCTCCAGTTAATTGCCAGTTTCTGAAAAGAGAATAGCTCTTAGCCTGAGTCGGTATTAAAAACTGGTCATGAAATGCCTTTTTTAAAATGGCTGCATCAAAACCTTCTTCTGTTTAGAACAGGAAATCTGTGTTTATTTTTTCTGCATATGGCGGTGAGTTGTTGGGGTTTTTTTATTGTAAAGAAGTTGTTGTTATTTATCATCCTCCCCCCCCCACTCCCACTGACCACCTATTCCAGCAGGTTCTTCTCAGAGTAGGAAAGGAATAAGCAGCACACAGCGTTCCATTACAATGGGATCTCACCCACCTACTTAACAAGACTCTGTACATAAATAGCATATCGTGATGAATCATTCGGACTTTATTAGCCGACACTGAATTAGCCTTTTCACACTGAAGCATTTCACAGTGCTATTTTATTGGCTGTTACCGCCACCATGTAAACTACCGACTATGGAATGCTGTAGTAGATTTGGGCAGGCTGGCAGTTCTTGACGACTTATAAAAGAGACATCTGCAGCAGTAAAGTAGATCTGATATTTTTTAAATGTCACAGGAGACCGTAGTGACTCTCAGCCTAACTGGGACTGCAAAAGCAAGAACGGAAAGCAAGGGAAACCGACATCAAGAAGTTGGATGCATTTTTAAATACACTGTTATTAAATGGACGTCTTGAGGTTAGGACAATGGGAGTTGAGACCAACTTTTATTAGGCCCAAGGAGGCGGGATGTAGAATAGAATATGGGTTGCCATAGTCTGGGGATAAAAACCTCGGACACACACATCCCAAACACCATCGGGGCGCCCCCCACCATCCCGTCCCTCCCTTGCGCGCCCCTCCCTGCTGCTAATCCTTCCTTGCCTGCCTGCTCCCTCCTTCTTCCCTTCCATCTCTTACCTTTGCTGTCTTCAGCCTTCTGCTCACACTGTGAGACTGAGCGACTCTGTGAAGGTGACCGCCAGGAGTGGTGTGAGGCCTCACACGGCCCCAGAGTTGCATGTCGAGGTCCCCAAGCCACCCCCAAATAAAAGACGATTGGCACGTAATTTTTGTCTACGGTTTTTGGCATACTTTTGGCCACAACTTTATTAAAATACAAGCAATGTGAGTGGTTGCTTAGGCATTGGTTGCGACTATCAGACCCCACATAGGGACAGACTGACAAAGTCAGAAAGGGAAAACATTTTGGGGAAAGACCATGCCCTCACCTCTCCCCAAATGCTCCCAGGGGCTCTTGCATGGCCCTAGCCCCTTGACAGGGGTTTGGACAAAAGCATGGCAAGCCCCTGGATTCCTTTACCAGAATACCCTTGCTGCAGCAGCTTTGGAGGGGCAGGGACAGCCAGTCCCTACCCCTCCACCAACGAATTCATAAAACCAATGCCTAACCGCAACCTTACAAGTTGTGATGATTTGCTACGCAGTAGGCAAAAACTAAATGGCACCAGCCAATCAGCCAAATGGACAAAATTCCTACCGGGCCACTGCCTCAAGAGCAGACGACCCCATTACAGGCATAACAAGGTCAAGCAAACAACCCTGAACATAGGGAGGGAGGGTGGGTGGGTGATCCGATGCATGCAGTGAAAAGAGGAAGCTCAACGCTGCGCGCAGGGCATATATAGACTATGGCTGTCAATCACAAAATGGCAACATATAAATCTCCTAAGCAACAGGTAGAACCCAATTGTAATGGTGGCCAACATTATTTTCCCTCCCAGCAACAGTGGGGTGTCTTGTTAGCCCCCACCGCAACACGTGCTCTCCATGAAGGAGAACACGCTAAGCCACGCACAGCCTGGCAGCCTCTGGGAACAGCACGAGGTCTAGCCTGCCCCAAGGAATCCGCACATGGCCTAGCGGCAGCAAGGATCAAAACCTGATCTAGCGCAACCCTGGGCAGGCCGCTCCAGGCCACCCGATGCGCGCTTCCTGTTCAGGGGCACAGTGCCTTCTGAGCATG